ATGTATTTTTGCAGGGATTCAAGACCTTTTGCTATATACTTTTAATTCTTAATTATCAGGACATCTTCACATATCTGATTTACAATTAAAATATTTCTTGTCCTGCCCTTACTTGTAAAAGCACCTTCTCCTTTAAAATCTATGAATAGGGTGGATTTAGTTGCCTCATGCCTGCAGTCTCACCACTTTGGGAGGACAAAGCAGGAGGATCTCTTGAACCCAGGAGTTCAAGACCAGCCTAGGTAGAATAGAGAGACCCCCCCTACTCTATAGAAATTTATTTGTTTTTTGTTTTGAGACAGAGTCTTGCCCCATTGGTCCAGCTAGGATGCAATGGTATCATCACAGCTCATAGCAACCTCAAACTCCTGGGCTCAAGCAATCCTCTTGGCTCAGCCTTCTAATTAGTTGGGACTATAGGTATCTGCAACCAAGCCTAACTAATTTTTTTCTGTTTTTTTAGCAGGAATTGGGTCTTGCTTGTGCTCAGGCTGAGCTCAAACTCATGACTTCAAACAGTTCTCCTGCTTCAGCCTCCCAGAGAGCTAGAATTACAGGAGTGAGCCACCATGCTCAGCCTCTACAAAAAATTTTTTAAAAATTAACTGGGCATGGTGACAGGCACTTGTCATCCTAACCACTCTCTTGCACTCCAGTGTGAGCTGTAGTGCAAGAACCTGACTCTAAAACAAACAGAAAACCTTTGAGAAATAGTCATAAGCTAATACCCTAACAATGTTCTATTTGAAATGATAATATGATATTTGCTCTATTTTTCATGTCTGAACTAAAATCAATTTTAAGTATGCTCTTGGAATGTCACATCAAATTTAAATGAAGTAGACATTATACTATTATTAAATTAATACTGAACTGTACTTTATTTTGTTGGCTTAATAAAGTAGAGGACAAAAATTCTAAATTAAAGTGCTAAATCCCAGTGTTACATTTGTGTTACTTGCTTTAGATGCTCAAAAAAAAAAAAATAAATAAATAAATAAAATAAAAAGTAAATAAAATAGATGCTTTAATTGAAGTTACTCAGGCCATACAGTATTCATAGGTGTACTGCTAAGACTTAGGAATCAAGTCTTGGAAACATAGATGTTATCTTCAAACTTTCCTGATCCCTTGATACATAGTTAAAGATTGATATGCATCTAAAGAAAGTATTAGCTTACAAAAATACTCATTAAAAGAAAGCATTTTAACCAGAAAACACAAAATAAGATAACAGGAATATGACCTAAATAAGATAACAGGAGTATGACCAAATATATCCATTATAAGAAAAAAAAAGTTCTTTTTAAAACCCAAGCCAAATTAAATCCTAGCCAGTCACTCATTGGACATTTACTAAAAATTAGAATGTTTAGCTGGGCACATCGTTCATGCCTGTAATCTCAGTACTCTGGGAGGCTGAGGCAGGTAGATTGCCTAAGCTCAAAAGTTTGAGACCAGCCTGAGCAAGAGACCCTGTCTCTACAAATAGCTGGGTGTTGTGGCAGGCACCTGTAGTCCCAGCTACTCAGGAGGCAGAGGCAAGAGGATCACTTGAGCCCAAGAGTTTGAGGTTGCTGTGAGCTATGATGCCACAGCACTGTATGGAGGGTGACAAAGTGAGACTCTGTCTCAAAAAAAAAATGTTATGTTTAGTGGTATAAAAAAAGTTATGTTTAGTGGTATAAAGGAGGTTTGGAACATAGTTACTGATGATGCATAGGTAAAGTACTATTGAGGATGATACTGCATCATTGGTCGGAAACAGAACTTTTCACTTGTCCTACTCCTTCCCTTTTTCCTTAATAGGAAATGACTTGAAGACCTCATCCCTATCAGTGCCTCATTAATTTCCTTAATAGGAGTTAATGACTTGAAGACCTCATCCCTATCAGTGCCTTCATCATTATGCTTTTTCTCCCTACAGGAGATGGAGCAGTCAATGAATATGCTGAATTCCAACCATGAATTACCCGATGTTTCTGAGTTCATGACTAGGCTCTTCTCTTCAAAATCATCTGGCAAATCTAGCAGCGGCAGCAGTAAAACAGGCAAAAGTGGAGCTGGCAAAAGGAGGTAGTCAGATGGTCCAGAGCTGGCATTTGCATAAACATGGCAGCACTGGGTGGCATCCAAGTCTTGAGGGAAAACCATGTGAAGCAACTACTGTAAACTTGAGTCATCCTGAAAGTTGATCTCTTACAACTCTTGGATATGTTAACTTTTTAGCACATGTTTTGTACTTGGCACACAAGAAAACCTAGCTTTCATCTTTGTCTGTGTGAGGTCAATATTGATGTTAACCGAATTACAGTGTCCTATAGAAAATGACATTAATAAGTTATATGAATTACTATACATTATGTATATTAAAATAAGTCTTAATCCAGAGATCAAATTATCTTGTCATTTTTTTTTTTACTTGTATCGTTCTTTCCTGACAATTTTCTTATGTCTTTTCATTATCTGAGGCTTGAAATTGACTTTTCCTGTTTAAAAAGAGTAGTTGATACATTTATTTATTTTTGAGACAGAGTCTCATTATGTTGCCCTCAGTAGAGTGCTGTAGCATCACAGCTCACAGCAACCTCCAACTTTTGGGCTTAAGCGATTCTCTTGCCTCAGCCTCCTGAGTAGCTAGGACTATAGGCACCTACCACAGCACCTGGCTATTTTTTGTTTAGTTGCCACTGCTGTTTTAACTGGCTGGGGCCAGGTTCAAACCGGCCACCCTCAGTATTTGAGGCTGGTGCCCTACTCACTGAGCCAGAGGCGCCACCCAGTGGTTGTTATATTTAGAGCAGCATGCACCGTGGGTTTTGTGTGGCTGTAGCTTTCAAAATTCTCAGCCCTGCCTTGCCATTTAACTTTCCCTGATATTTGAGATAGAACCACTTGTTCCTGACTTACTTTTAATTTGTTGTTATTATATTAATCCTGATTATAGAAAATAAATAGCATAAGGTCTTTATTTCATCCTCTTTTGAGATTTTAACCCTCAGGTTTCCAGAGAGGTGATGCTGACAATTTAAGAAGAAAAATCTCCTTGAAGAATTTTTGAGTTGGACTCTCAGAGAACAAATATACCCTCAGCTAAGCTCCAGGTGTATGGGCCTAAAGCCTCCAACAGTGTTCCCTTGGAGAGCAGGAGCTGTGAAAATCTGGCTTTATACTTTTAGTTTCTTGAATTTTTTCAAGCCAGAATAGCAGAAGCAAACACAGATTGGAAAATACTATGTAACTGTCCTGTGCCGGTGGAGACTTCCTTGGGGCTTGGGATAGAGTTGAAGATACTGCCTGCATGTCCTCAATAGTGCTTCTGAAATCCTTTCCATTCAGTATGACCTAACATTGGTCCAGTTTGTTCAGCTATAAAACAGGGAAGTGCTTTTCTTGCTTGGATATTTTTTATGGGCAGGATTGTGTCCCCCACAAACAGATACATTGGAATCCTAGCTCAGCATCTCAGCATGTGACCTTATTTGGCAATAGAGTCTTTAGGAGAGGCAGTAAAGCGAAAATGAAGTCATTAGGTTGAGTCCTAATTCAGTGTGACTGATGTCCTTATTGAAAGAGATACAGAGATACAGCTTTCAAAATTCTCAGTGCCTGGATACAAGGACAGACGCGCACAGAAGGAAGATAACATGAAGAGACACAGGAAGATGACCATTTAAAAGTCAAGGAACTCCTGAGGCTACAAGAAGCTAAGAGATAGCCTAGTGAGGTGGTTTATGCCTATAATCCTAGCAGGATGGGGGTTGGGAAGTGGAAGTAGCCATCACTGTGTAAGAGTCATTCCTATGTCAGAGTTTTTTTATTTTTATTTTTATTTCTTTGAGGCAGAGTCTCCCTTTGTTGCCCTTGGTAGAGTACCCTGGCATCATCATAGCTCATAGCAACCTCAAACTCCTGAGTTCCAGCTATCCTCGTGCCTAAGCATCCTCAGCAGCTGGGACTACAAGCACACACCACCATGCCTAGGTAGTTTTTTCTATTTTTAGCAGAGACCTGGTCTTACTCTTGCTCAGGCTGGTATCTAACTCCTGAACTCAAGCAATCCTCCCGCCCAGGCCTCCCAAAATGCTAAGATTACAAACGTGAGCCACTGCACCCTGCCTCTAAGTTATTTTTCATGGTAGAAAGTCAGTAGATATTTTCTTAAAAAATCAAAATAAAGGTATATGCATGTTACTTTAAAATATGGGTGCAAAAGTGGCCAAAAGAGTTTGTTAAAAAAAAAAAAACCACCAGGTGTTCGTTTGACTCAAGGAAAGATGTTACCTCCAGAGGAGAGTGGGAATATGAATAGGATGGGGATAGAGTGACACTTCTCCAAGGATTTTTTTTTGTATAGTTTTGAATTATACAGCTATTAAATATTTTACTTTTTAAAAAATGAAATTAATCATGGAAGAAAATTATAACGTTTACTATAAACAGAAACAAACCAAACTGATTTCAAATGAATCAAAAAAAAAAAATAAGAACAGAAGCAATAATTGAATATAGTAACTTGACTATATTCACTTAATCTTTTTTTTTTCTTCTGAGACCGGGTTTGCTCTGTTGCCTGAGTTACAGTGTGGTGGCATCATGATAGTTCCCTGTAACCTCAAACCCCTGGGCTGA